GGGACCAGAAGTTCTGGTCATAGCTGACTGATAAATCCACCTCCCATTTTTCAGTAGGGATTGCAATTTTATCGTCTAATTTGGACAGTGTCTTATAAACTTTAGACAGTAGTTTGGGAGGTTTGAGATTATAGAAGTCTAATACCCTTGGTGGTGTTTTTCATTCTACTTTATTGAGCTTAAATTTTTAACTACAGATTTAATTAGGTGATATTCTAAAAAGCTATTCTTATCTATTCCAAATTGGGAGACTATTCTGTTAAATGGGATGAAGTCCAATCCTTCATATATGTGTTCCAGGCAGAGCAGATTAATGCAAAGGCAAAGTAGGCACGTGTCTAGGGCCTGATTGGCTGGATGGGGCCCAGACAGAGGGACAAAATTAAAAAATAAATAAATAAATAATAAAATGTACAAATGTCCTATGATAGAATTTGTAGATAGGACTCCTATCTACAGTTTATTTCAATATTTATTAATTAACTAAAAATAAGTGATGATATTTATCTTAACCTTAAGTCACATTAACTCCAGCCCATGACTGTAGCCTACAACTTGGGGGCCACCCAATTAAGGAAGTCAGAGAAACGGTCAGAGTCAGAGCGGGACACAACAAGGCTAGCAGGTGTTTTTGAGTAGGCTACTTTCACGATGATTTCGGGTGCGGCAAAATGTAAAAAGAAAAAAAAAATGAAGAGGAACAAAAGAAGAGACAGCGGCGGGGGGGGGGGGGGGGGGGGGGTTTACAGAAGCTTCTGTCGGGCTGTCCGACAGCTGTGACCCTGCTCGAGTCAGCACAGCCAGAGGCCGGGCCTGAGCAAGACCCGGAGGAGACACGATCCGAAGACGCGGTGGAAGATGCGGCGGAAGACGCTGTAGCGCCAACGTCGTCAACATCAACGCAGTCACAGAAGGACGAACTGGAAGAACAGCAGCCAGCCAGAAGTGAGCCCAATATAGTCTTACAGCAGCCTGCTGCAACGAGGCTGAAGTATTCGGGAAACGGCTAAAGGGCCATTACACCCAATTTTTCTCTACTCTGACCATCTTTAATCTGCTCTAGCTCAAAAACTATAACAGCCACACTGTTCAAACCTGTTCTAGATTATTCTACAGTAATAGCAGATTGCATACAACCTTGTTTGGGATTTGTGAAACCTTTCCCTGATTTGTGAAACTTCAGCAAAACATGATTTATGCATTTTTTCAGCATCTGGCCAATGATGGAACAGCTCTAGCTCAAAAACCACAACAGCCACACAGTTCAAACCTGTTCTAGATTATTCTACAATAATAGCAGATTACATGATGGCATTTTAATTATCAAGTACTGTTGTTTAATTTTTTATGTCATCTTCTCTACAAAAATTTTGGGTAAATGTCTTTCATTTTTATGGGATATCACTTAATGTAGCCTACGCATAAAAATAACACTTTTTTTTTCATTTTCAATTGGATTGAAGTGAGCATTTGTGTTGAATAGTAGAAAGGGTTTTCAGTATTACAGTATATTAAATTCACCTTAATAAGTGTAGCTCATGTTCAACTCATGTTTACTCAAAAGCGAGTATCAATATTAAATCATTAGAATACACGTTTCATATACATCCCATGAGACAATTTTAAAATTTCTTAGCATTTCTCACCTTACTATTCGAAGATACATTAAAAGTACATCATACACACTTCAGCCAAATGAACGTCCATGTAGCTTCCAAAAGATATTCGTCAAGCGTGATCGTCTACTTCGCCGGAGCCCACACACAAATGTTTACTACCGTAACTGTTCGAACATTTGCGCAACCTTCGTAATTCCAATGGTTTCAGAAAGGTGACACTCTGCGCTTTTCAGAGGTGTACAATACATTACGGTAATATGACAGAGTTCCTGTCTGAGAGCCAGCCCGGGAGAAAAAGACTACGCCGTTAGAACAATGGAGGAGCGGAGGAATTGTTTTGGAGGCGTATTTTCAAGATAGTCGGACTATCCGTGCTCATTGACGTGCTACGGGGCACGAGCAGACCGATTTTTCAAGGCTCTGTTGAAGTTTCACAAATCAGGGAAAGGGTTCACAAATCCCACACTGTGTTTTATTTGATCTGCTATTATTGTAGAATAATCTAGAACAAGTTTGAACAGTGTGGCTGTTGTAGTTTCTGAGCTACAGCTGTTCCATCGTTGGCCAGATGATGAAAAAATGCATAAATCAGGCTTTGTTGAAGTTTCACAAATCAGGGGAAGGTTTCACAAATCCCACAATGTGTTTTATTTTATCTGCTTTCAAAGTAGAATAATCTAGAACAGGTTTGAACAGTGTGGCTGTAGTAATTTTTGAGCTAGAGCATATTAAAGATGGTCAGAGTAGAGAAAAATTGGGTGTAATGGCCCTTTAGTCGTTTCCCGAATCGGAAGCTAACTTCAGCCTCGTCCTGCTGCATGTGTCTGCAGAGGCTGTCAGCAGGAGCCTCTAGACCCAGAAAGGGTGTTAACAAGCTGCCCATCTGATCCTGCAAAGTGGTACCAAATTGATGACAGGATGCGTGAGTACTTTGCACTAAACCATCCCTCTCAAAATATTGGATATTCCTCTGCATCACAGAGGAAATATGGAGACATAAACCAAAGCTTATCCAAGGAACATTTCTTTAGACTTGTTTCTGCTGTGACTGAGGCCCTGTGATGCTAGAAGGCTGAAGATTATCCTGGAGTGGAGAATGCTAAATCGTTTCCTAGTTAAGTGTTGCTGGTTTTATTAATTATTTTTAAATAGTTTTATTAATGTTCAAATAGCATAACAAACAATAAGTTCATATACAGAAAAATCACACAGAATTTCTCATTCAGCAGAGGCAACAACAGCCTGAATGAGCATAAAGCAAAATCAAAACTTAAGATAATGTTTTCATTTTATTAAAATACTTTCTTTTAAGATTATAGATTGTATTAAATTTATACTGTAATAATTTAAGCTGCGTGTTTATAGTTTGTTTTTGTGCCTTTAAAACATGCTTCAGTCCATTAAAATTAATCTATTTCTTCTTGAATGTCTTTCCACTATCATGTGATTAATTCGTCAACATTTATAAATGTTGTAAGCTATTGTATTTAGCAGAAAATCGTTTTAATTAAATGTAGTGATTAAATATAAACAGAGCAAATAAGATCAACATATTTGCTCAGTTTACATAGTTTAATTACACCTAGTGGTTATTTACTGGTACTACTGCCTTGACATTGACTCTTCCAATGGATGAGGATAATTTATTAGCATTTAATACAGCTGTGTAATGATGTATAAATTATTAATATAAAAAAATAGTCTGATAGAATGTTTTACATACAAACAACCAATTTGTAACCAAAGACTAGGCTATGTAAAATGTGAATGAACTTTTATTAGTAACTTTGGTAAGTTTCGGATTTCAATTCATTAAATAACATTGACGGGGGGGGGGGGGGGGGGGTCTTTACAGTATGCTCTAATGTGAAACAGGCTTCAACACAAACGGTTGTTTTCTGCTTGGTCCTAGAGCTCAACCATTGTCAATTTAATATAGCATAATATTGTTTTTGGATGGTAAAAAGTGCAGGGGTCAACACTTGACTTTGGAAAAAGTGGGGGGGACATATCCCCCCGTCCCCCCCCAAAATTACGTCCATGGCCTAGTGTAGTCCATTTATTTAATCCGGCTCTGGTTCCAGGTATAGGATCCCTTTATTTTTCCAGTCCGGAAGGTTCATCATTTTGTTATTTTGCAAAATATCAGGATTATTCCAGATAGGTGTGCGTCTGCATGGTACTAGTGAAGACTCTGTCATTTTAAGATACTCCCACCATGCTGTCAGAGAGGTGCTGATACTAATACTTTTGAAGCCTTCATGTTTTCTTATGCTTGAGCTAATAAATGGTAAGTCTGAAAGCTCTATCGTATTGCAAAGTGTCTGTTCTATATCTAACCAGGACTCATCTAGTGGGTTATCTTGCAACCATCTTGGTATATATTGCAGCCTGTTGGCTAAGAAATAATAATAAAAGTTGGGTAGATCCAGTCCTCCTCTGTCTTTGGTCTTCTGAAGTGTTTTTAAGCTAATTCGTGGAGGTTTATCCTGCCAAAGGAATATAGTAATTGAGGAGTCCAGAGATTTAAACCAGTCAGCTGGAGGTTTGTTTGGGATCATCGAGAATAAGTAATTTATTCTGGGTAAGACCATCATTTTAATTGTAGCAACTCTCCCCATGAGTGATATCGGTAAGGATTTCCATCTTGCAAGATCGTCTTCCACTTTCTTTAAAAGTGGGATGTAGTTTAGTTTGGTTAGATCTGCTAACTTGGGAGAGACATTAATTCCCAGGTATGTGATATTCCCTGACTCCAATTGTGTACTAAGTAAATTGACAAAAGAGAAATTAATTGGTAGAACTGTGGATTTTAACCAGTTTATGGAGTAATCTGAAACTCTTGAAAAAGAGTTTATCAGTTCTATTGAAAGGGAGAGAGAGGATTGGGAATTCTGGAGAAAGAGTAAAACATCATCTGCATAAATATTATGTTCTATTTTCTTACACTTTACGCCTTTAATACCTGTTATTTGCCTAATTGCTGCTGCTAGTGATTCAATAAAGATAGCAAACAGTGGGGGGGGGGGGGGGGGGGGGCTCTCACTTTTGACCCCCGTGTGCCGCTCGCAGTTGTTTCCCCCATTAGTTATCATCTGTTTTCATGTTTAGTTCATCATTTATTTAGCTTTATGTTTTCCATTCCTCCAGTAATCTTTATGTTATAGCCCACTCTCAGTGACTTTCCTTGTTGTCTAGGTTTTCATTTATTCCTGGCTCCTTGTGTTCATTTTTTTCATTCTGTTTAGATCGTTTTCATTATTTTCCTAGTCTTCGGCTGTTTTTAGAGTAGTTTTAGTCTTTCCACCATCAGTTCCAGTGTCATCTTATTTTAGTTCCGTCCAGTCATCTTGTGTTTCTGTATTTCCTTCCATCCTTTAGCCAGTTAATCACACCTGTAGGCCCTTTGTCATTATCGTTCACCACACCTGTTTCGTTTAGCCTCATTATCTCAGTCTTTACACATGCAGCTCAGTCCTCTTCTCCTTGACCCAACCTCAATAGTTGCACTTCACCCTGCGGTCTTCTGTGAAGTGCACTTAGAGGACGTGCACGTTTATTTTTAAAACCTTACCTGCTGCTTCTGGATCATCTCTCCATCTCACCACATTTGCATCCTGTCACAACCACCAAACCATGACAAGTATCGAATAACTAAAAAAATATATATGTTTAGTTTTGGTTTAGTTTTAGTTTCAAAACAGGAATGTCACTATTTTACTTTTGCTTTTTTATTTTTTTACAGTATTGATTTATTGAAATACAGAGAAATCAACTTGTGAATACACTGCACGTTAATATAGTAAGCATAGCATTTCTTTTAACACAGTAAGCATATTCACACATGGAAACTGTCAATGTGAATAAATCGTATGGCAGCATTGTGTAAAAGTAGCTTATGGTCTCCATAACTTTGGAGACCCCTGCCCTACGTACTCGCACACCTCGCTGGGAATGTGAAATTAAAGGGTGCAAGGGTGGAAGTGCAAGGCGCAATCCTAATACTTGCACTACAGCCTACGGTCTTCTGTGAAGTGCACTTGGAGTAGTACACAAGTGTGCAAAAAAAATGCAGAATTGGGACGTGACCATTGCGTCACTGAACACGTCGCAAGCTGAGATGCTGGTCATTGTTTGTGCAACTTAAAAAAAAACTATTGAAAAAATTTACATTCATTGCTGTCCACATTAAATCTTAGTCTAAAATATTCAGAGCATGAATAAATATTAACCATCTTAAAATTAACTTTTGTCTGAAAATACGTATTTTCAGAAACAGCACTTCATCCATTGTTCCGCCGCCGCCTTCTGAAAATTCCCACTCAGCAGTGGGTAGAGGGTAATACCCTTCGCCCAAGTCTACGTTAATGCTGACTTGGGGATAGTGCAGCTCAAGGGTGCAAAAAGGGCTTTATCAAATACCACACTTGAGGACAGGACACCTTGAGGGACTACTCGAGAAAACTAGTCTAAAGTAAGCCAATAACTGGACTAACTCGTAAATCTTCCCAGTTGTACCTAATGTCATTCTTGTTTAATGACAGACTCTTTCATTCATGTTTCTGTTTTAACCTATTCAAGCATCAGTGAAGGACTTTAATGGACTTTATTATTAAAGTCATTATTGTACTTAATGACAGTTTTTCTTTGTACTTTACTGAAGTATTTCTCTTGAGGTCTTTTTTATTTTACTCCGCGCAATTTTTTAAAAGTATTTTCTACTCCACTATGTTTCCTCAAAAGTTTCAAATGTAAAAGTACTTTACTTTTACCTACTTACGTACTTTTAAGTGTTACTTCATACATTGCCATCTATAGGTGTGACACTCATACAATATCTTCATTCAAAATATTATTACTAGTTTTCTTTATACAATCAAGTCTAATAAATTGGACCTATGTCAGACTTCTTTTATTTACATGCATAGATGCAAAAAATACATAAAAGGGTTTAGATGCATACTTTAATCAGACTCCAACTCATAACTTATTCTTGAACGATGCATTGTCCTGAAACACTGGTTGGATTTTTTTTTAAAAGAACTCCACCTTCTGCTTTCTTCAAACTGGAGGATAAGAGGGTGTCAAACTACAGCCCAGTGCCCTTTTGATTTTTTCAGTCAAGTGTTGAGTGGTGAGACAAGTTATTTTTTATTGCCATTGATGATTACAAAGGTAAACCTGGAAATCAGTGATTTATTAGACTCCTCTTGCATGTTTGAACAGGTTCGACTTGTTATTATACTCTTATTAGCTGTACATCTGTTTCACTATAAAACATGTCCTGTTGTAATTTATATTACATGTAGCTATATATTTAATATATGTGTAAAAATTAAATCCTTACTTATTTTTCTTTGTTACACACAATGTTCACTTAAGTTACCACATGAAGCTTCTTATGTATTTATTTTAAATATACAGTTTTTTTCTGTTCATGAAGTATTTTTTATTTGTTTAGAAGTCCTTTTGTTTTTAAAGATCTTATTTCTCGCCTCTTTTTTACATCTGAGATGAACGCCAGTAGAGTTCCTGTTGCTCATGCGACGTAAGTGTTTTATCCCTGGTTTACCCTGACTGAATTAAAAAGAAATGTCAATAGATTAGCTAGAGAAAAACACACACATTCATCATTTCTGACTTGTCATTCTGTTTTGTTCTGTATCTAGAACAGCAACCGTAGCTTTGCATAGTTAACAGACTCTACATCAACATTTAAGAAAATGCCCTCAAATCACTGGAATGTTTTCTGTGTGATTTTTTTTTAAATTCCAGTAATTAAGCATGTTTGTTTTATGCTAATGCCAAGCTGTCAAAAAGGTATGTGTCTTTGTTAATGGCAGAATATTTGAAAGATGGATGCATCAAAGTTATACTAGAATCCAATTAGGCTGTCAACTTGATGGGAAGATTTAGATAATGCCTCTCCTTCTGTATTGCAGTGTAAAGGTCGGTGTTGGAGCTGAGAACATATAAATAAAAATCATCTCTTGTAAAAACTTAAGGATTGTGTAAACACCCTATTGCTGTCCTATTATGTCTGCAGACAATGATTAGTTTAATAAATCCAGCCACAAGATACTCATGTAAACAAATAGTATAAACAACACAAATGTGAAGAAAACTGAACTTTTCAAGGTAAATAAACAAAATAAACCAATGTTTTATCACTGTTTGAGTAATATCTGAAATATATATTAGAGACACATCTTTGCCTTCGAGTGAGATCCATTCATCTGGTTTGTTCACTTTAGAGGAATGTACATTTCTATGATTGAGCCACCTCTGCATATGTGACTTTGAACTTGAGTCAACCCTAGCTATTATTTTTCTTCTGTCATTCTTAAGTGACACTTTGAACAGTTTCAAAAGAAAATTCTTTCCCTACGTCAGACTTTTAAGTCATAGGTAATATATAAGGTAAAACAAAGAAGTGGAAAAACTAGATTTCAGAAAGAAGGATATCAAGAATAGTTATCACAGAACTTTTACAGGGACTTATTTCAAAGAGAAGGACATCACGGATAGTTATCACGGAACTTTTAAGGGGACTGTTTTTTTTTTTTTGGTAAGTAAACTCTAATAATGCAAGCTAGGATTGGAGCTCATCATTATGTGAAAATATTAGATTTTTTTTAATTGTGCGAGGTTTTATGAGACTTGGGGATAAATTGCTTAAACACTGGCTAAATTTCCATGGAATCTAACGTTAAGAAATAAATTTATAAAATGTTATTTTTTTCTCGATTATTTGATTACACAAACCAAAAATATTTGAAAGTACACTTGCTTCTAATGCATTTCTTAGTTTTACTCTTAAAAATCGTTTTTACACCTTACTTGTTTTATTTCAACTTTAATAACTGTTTTTTATTAAAAAAATAAAATAAATCAAATAACTAAAAAGTGAATTGCCCCAGTATGAACTTTTCTATCATTTCTAAATATTTATTAGCATGTTTAGTACAGTTGGTGCAATATTAAAATGAAATAATAATAATACTTTATAATTGTAAAGGATGGGTAGTTTACATCTTACTTATGAACCATAAAATGTGAGATTCCATATATGGATTATGAAATATCAATCTGATGGATCTTTGAATTTTTTTTTCTGGGGGTGCCCATGCATTTGGGCTGAAGAAAATACCCTGAGTTTTTTTAAAACTGATGAAATGCAGAGCCAACCAAGCTTTAACTTCCGATAGACAATTTACTACCCTGGGTTGACGCTGTCGCTTCATTATTCAGGTGATTACTATGTTTTATTCAAAGGTTTGTTTCACTGAGAAACCATGTGATAGTTGTTCTTTTTTAAATACGACTGGTCCCTCTGAGTTGCATATACAAGCTGCACATGAACATTTTCTTCAACTTGTCTTGTGCATTAACCTCAAAAAGAAAATAGACAGGAAAACCACTGTCACTTATGCCACACAGAAAATTTACTTTCATGGCCTCACCAATCTTGGCATGCATCCGTGGAAGGCTTTGTTGAATTTGCAGCAAGGAGAGAGAGCACTAAGCATCTCTGCTACTGAAAGCTGACCGATAGTAATTTCTCTACATGGCAAAACACATTATTGCTTGCATTATGTGTGGGGATCACAAACTCAAATTCCTGACATATTCCTGAAAAATTAATGACACATCTGAAGAAAGATAATAATTATAATTGAAGTTGGATTTATGGTTTAAGAAAATGCAACTGTTGGCAAAACATTCTTAGTGAAAAATAAGGTTGAAATGAAAAATTGCTTATCACTTTGCTGTAAAAGTCATTTAAAAGCAACAAATAAGTAATGGTATAACAATTTTAAAATAAAAAATAAAAAACCTTTCATTGACACCATACTAAATTCATGTCGAGAGTTATCAAGTGTTTATTTTGAAGAGCATTTTATTGGATTTGATAGAAAAATTAAACAAAACAAGAGATTTACCTAAAAACAAGTTTTTCAACTGGATGGCAGACCATTTATTAAAACAAGCGTGGTGTTAAGGTTATGGTAATGGGCTATGGGTTATGTTGTTATGGGTTACATTGTAAATTTTATACTAACTTGCTGTACACTACAATTTATTGATCTAAATTTTCAAAAATTACAGGGTAACGATTAAAGAAATGGGGACTGAAAAGTTCCTTCGAGATGCAATAGCATTGACAGGTAAGTTGAGTTAGACACACACTAATATTGAATTTAAGACAACACTAAAGTATTGTGATAGCGTTCCAGCTAAATTTTTGTTAAATGTCTCCACAGCAGTGTTGATGTGCCTAACAGAACATGGACGGATATCAAATGTAGCCATAGCAGATGATGCTCAAGTGATCGCAGATGGTCCAACAGACACAAAAGCCACTATAATAAGCACAGCTGTTCCAAATGCAACCACAACCGCCCCTACGACAACCACAAATTATCCAATTACAACCACAGCTGACCCCCTTACAACCATAGCAGCCCCAACTACAAACTCAGCTGCCTTAACTACAACCATAGTTGTTTCATCTACAACCATGGCTGTCCCCACTACAATCACAGATGCACCAAAAAAGACCACAGCTGCCCGTCCATCAACCACAATTGCTCCCACTACAACCACAGCTGCCCAAACAACAACCACAACTGCTCTAACTACAACCACAGATGCTTCTACTTTAAGTACAGCAGCCCCAACTACAACCTCAGCTGCTTTAACAACAACCACAACTCCTTCAACTTCAGCCTCAGCCACCCCAACAACCACCGTTTATCCAATTACAACCATGAAAACTTTAACTACAACTAATGCAGTCCCAAAATCAACCACATCTACATCAACTACAACCAAAGTATTTTCTACTACAGCTGCCCCAACAAATATAGTTGCTCAGACTACAACCACACATGCCCCATCAACAACTACAGAATCTCAAACAACAACCACAGCTGACCCGACTATGACTACAATGGCCCCAATAACTATCACACCTGCTTTTCCTAAAATCACAGCTGCTGAAACTGCAACCACAGCTGCCCCCAAACGAACCATAACTGTTCCGATTACAAGCACAGCTGCCCCGAAAATAATCACCACTGCCCCAAAACAAACCAAGGTGTCTCCAACTACAGCTGGCCAAAAAACAACAATGACGGCTCCAAAGACAATTAATGATACCCTAACAACAACCATATCTACTCCAACTACAACCGCAGCTGCTCCAAATACAACCATGGTTGCGTCATCTACAACCACAGCTGTCCCAACAACAACCATGGCTGCTCCAACTACAACTGCTGATTATTCTGCTTTTGGTACAGTTGCTTCAACTACAACCACAGCTGCCCCAAGAACAACCACTACTGCTCCAACAACTACACTCACAGCTGTGCCAGCTACAACTCCAGCTGCCCTAACAACAACAACAACCACATCTACATCAATTACAATCACAGCTACCTCCACAATCACAACTGCCCCAACAACCACCACAACTGCTCTAACTGCAACCACAGTTGATTCAACTGCAACAACATTTGCCCCAACAACAACCACAGATTCCCCAACTACAATCACAGCTGTGTCAGCAACAAGTATAACTGCCCAAACAACAATCGCATCTACATCAACTACAACCACAGCAGCCTCATCAACAATCACAGCTTCTCCATCTACAACAACAGCTGCCCCAGCAACAACAACAACTGCTTCAATTACAACCGCAGCAGCCCCAACAACAACAACCACAGCTCCTCCAACCACAGCTGCCCTAACAACAACAACAACTGCTTCAATTACAACCGCAGCAGCCCCAACAACAACAACCACAGCTCCTCCAACCACAGCTGCCCTAAAAACAACCACAACTGCCCCAACAACAACAACTACTGCTGCTTCAATTGCAACCACAGCAGCCCCCAAAACAACCACAGATGCCTCAACAACAACCACAGCTGCTGCTACTACAACCACAGCAGCTCCAACTACAACCACAGCTGCCTCAACAACACCCACAGCTGCTCCAACAACAATTCCAGCTGCACCAACATTTACCACAGTTGTGCCAACAACCACAGCTGCCCTAACAACAACCACCACTAGCCAAAAAACAACCACACCTGCTTTGACAACAATCACAGTTACTCCAACTACAACCACATCTCCCACATCAATCACAGCTGTGACAACAACCATAACTGCTCCAACTAAAACCACAGAAGCTGCAACTACAACCACATCTCCCACATCAATCACAGCTGTGGCAACAACCACAACTGCTCCAACTACAACCACAGAAGCTCCAACTACAACCACAATTGCTCCAGTTTTAACCGCAGATTCTTCACAAAAACGCACAGTTGCAAATACTACAACCTCAAAGAACCCAACAACAATAACAGCTGCTCCAACTACAAACACAGTAGCCCCAACAACAACCACAGCTGAGGCAAAAACCACAGCTGCCCAAACAACAACCACAGCTGCTCTGACAACAACCTCGGTTTCTCCTACTACGACCACAGCTGCTACAACTACAACCTCGGATAACCCAACAACAACCACAGTTTCTCCGACAACAGCCACAGTTACTCCAACTACAACAGCATCTTCCCTAATTACTACCACAGATGCTTCAACATCAATCCTAGCTGTGCCAGCAACAACGAAAGTTGCTCCAACTACAACCTCAGATGCACCAATTACAAACAAAGCAGCTCCAACAACAACCACAATTGCTCCAACTACAACCACAGATGCTTCAATGACAACCACAGATGCTCCAACTATGACAACAGATGCTTCACCAACAACCACAGCTGCACCAACTACAACCTCAGAGACCCCAACAACAAAAACAGCTGCTCCAATTACAACTCCAGTTGCTCCAACTACAACCACAGCTGCTCAGACTACAACCACAGCAGCCCCAACAAAAATCACAGTTACCCCAAGCACAACCACAGAATTTATAACCACAGCAGCTCCAACTTTAACCACACATGCTTCAGCTACAACCACAGCTTCCCCAACAACAACAATCACAGCTGCTCCAACTGCAACCACACATGTTTCAACAACAACCACAGCTGCCCCAACAACAACCACAGCTGCTCCAACAACAACCACAGCTGCTCCAAGTGCAAACACAGATGCTTCATTTGCAACCACAGCTGCCCTAACAACAACCACAACTGCTTCAACTACAACCGCAGCAGCCCCAACAACAACCACAGCTGCTTCAACTACAACCACAGCAGCCCCAACAACAACCACAGCTGCTTCAACTGCAACCACAGCAGCCCCAACAACAACCACAGCTGCTTCAACTACAACCACAGCAGCCCCAACAACAACCACAGCTGCTTCAACTGCAACCACACATGCATCAACTACAACCACAGCTGACCAAACAGCAACCACAGCTGCCCCAATAAAAACCACAGCTGCCCCAACAAGTACCACAGCTGCTCCAAGTGCAAACACAGATGCTTCATTTGCAACCACAGCTGCCCTAACAACAACCACAACTGCTTCAACAACAACCACAGCTGCTTCGACTGCAACCACAGCTGCCCAAACAACAACCACTGTAGCTCCAAGCACAACAACTTATGCCCCAACAATAACCACAGCTGCTGCAACTACAATCACAGCTACCCCAAGCACGACCACAGAGTTTATAACCACAGCAGCCCCAACAGTAACCACATCTGCTCCAACTGCAAATACACATGCTTCAACTACAACCACATCTGTCCCATCAACAACCACAATTGCTCCACCGAGAACAACAGCTGACCCAACAACAACCACATATGTGCCAACGTCAGCCAAAGCTGCCCCAACAACAACCATGGCTGTTCCAACCACAACCACAGCAGCCGATACAATCTCAGTGGCACCAACAACTACTACAAGTGCCCAAACAATGACAAATGCAGCTCCAACAAAAACAACCCCATCTTCCCCAACAACCACTGCTGCTCCAACTACAACAACCACAGAAGTCCCAACAACCACAGCAGCATTAAAAACAACGTTATCTTCTATAACAACAATCACATCAGTTCAAAAAGCAACCACTGCTGCTCAAACTACGACCACAACTGCCCCAATAGCAACCACACCTGCCTCACATACAACCACCGCTGCCCCATCTATAATTGAAAATCCCCAAACAACAAGGCGGCTTACTTTTCGATCTCCAGACACTGTATTTTCTGAGGATTTGCGTAATCCAAGCAGTAACCTCTTCAAAGCACGAGCAAGCCTAATAGAGGCAGTTGTAAGTACTTTTTTGTTTAGCACATTGTCTAAAGTGTTATACATTCCCTTTATTACATAGGCAAAACATTTTCACATTCGGAGAATTAACAGAAGCATTTTTTCCAGAAAAATTATTCACATTTTCAAAAGTTTAAAGGAGTGCAACACTTGTTTAATCAATGCATTTGCAGTCGTATCTAAAAGGAATGAATGCCTTGAAGTTAACTTTCAGGCATTTGGGGTAAGGGAAATTGTGACAAAGTTCAGAACCTTTAACTTCCCCTGAAAATGAATTGGGAGCCAACATAGATGAGCCAGGACGGGAGTAAAATTGTGTTGTTGATTGATGCTTGCCAAAAATTTGGAATCTGCATCCTGAACCTTTTGCAGCCTGTTAGTACCGAGGAAGTGACACCAACGAGAGTTGAGTTTGTGTGATCCAGGCATGATGTAATAAAAGTGTGTATGTTCAACTAAATGTGGCCACTTCAAAATTGGGTTTAGACAAGCTAGAGGGCTTTGTTGGAAGAAACATGTTTTCATAGTGGCATTGATCTGGGGGGCCATTGAAAGGCTCACATCCAATATTACCCCAAGACTTGTCACACACTGCTAAAGATTGAGGGTAGAGAAATTAGAGATGGAGAGTGGAGGATTCACGAGGATCAAAAACAATTGCTTAGTTTTGGTTATGTTTAGCTTCAGAAAGTTTGCAGCTAACCAACTCCTCATCACTGATAGGCAGCGGTGACGGACAAAAGCTAGCAATGTAATGGTCACACCCATGTTTTTTTTTAATCAGCTGCACAATCACATATTTCACAGCCGTAGTGAACTCTCCAGTTAACTAGGCTAGTGTTAACAAAGCTCAGAATGGCAGAGCTCAGAGTCGAGAGGGTATCACATACCAACTTTGGAGGGAGGCAGTCCTCTGAAGAATCGACCACTTTCATGGATCAAATTCATTTCAATTCGGGTTTATTTATTTAGCACCAAATCACGACAAGAGACGTCTCAAGGCACTTCACATAGTAAACATTCCAATACAGTTCAGTTCATTAAGCAAATTAGAAAAGTTTCCTATATAATGAACCCATAATGGGACAAGTGCAAAGTTAGAGAAAGTTGGGGGGACAAGTGGCTCAACATGGTTAGCAGGTCCACAGGGTAAGGAGGCTAGGCCTGACATCCTGGATTTTTCAGAGAAAAAGTTCTGCAGCTCAGTGCACAGAGAAGTAGAGGGAGTGAGACCACCGGATTTGGTAAACGACAGAATGGAATTAGTGGTACTATCAAGTTTTTACTGATTACCCCGGTGCAATGAGATGATGTGTACTTGTTCCTAGCAGATCTGACTGTTCTCTGAGATATGGAGAGCGAAACAGCAAAATCCTGTCCTGTGATACAGATGTGGACAATAATATTGGTACACATCCATCCACCCATCCATCCATCTATTTTCATTTGCTTATCTGGAGTCCGGTCACAAGGGCAGTAGCTTAAGTTGAGAGGCCCAGACTTCCCTCTTCCCATCCAAATTGTTGGTACCCTTTGGTGGGGCTTTCAGAGTGTTGATGGCTGGTGTTATTCTGAAGACTGAGCAAAGAATAAAAACGTAACCGTATTACAACAACAATTATTAAGCCTTCACACATTTACGTAAATTGCCTAGAATTACAAGGCCTGCGCATATTTGTATCATTGTCCTCCTACCTTTGTTTTCTTTACACACTAATTAAGACCATTCTCCCACTCCACAATCCGGCCGACCATCACAGAGTGTAGGGTCAAACAAGCCCACAGAACAGAGCCAGACTAGGACCTGTACTTACTTATCTAGTTACACATTTGTAACTTTACACTTTGGTTTAACCACAAAAACTTGATTTATCTTTTTAAAATAAGATTTTTTGTTTAACAGACTCTTAATTCAAAGGGTTAGGGTTACCAGTAAAGGCACAGTGCACATGACAAAATATTTTCAATAATGTTTTAAAGCATTACACATTTTGTCACATTTGTAATCAATCTATTGTCTTTCTTCTTCTGCAGCTTACGCAAATATTCTCCAGAGAATTTAATTATTTCCTCACACTGAAAGTAGTTTATTTCACGTAAGTGTTTAAAGATGTCTGTCACAATGGGAAGTTTTGTCAATCATTATTTGTTCAAATATGATTTACTTGTCTTCTCTTCCTTTTTGTAGACCTGGGTCAGTTGTAAACACTGTGGACCTAACTTTTAATTTAACAGGTGTTCCAAATGACACAGCAATCGTAAATGTGTTTGTCAGCGAAGCTTCAACCATCACCAACTTCACCATTGACACGGCCAACATTACTGTGGAAAACCCAAGTATGAAAGATAAAATGACGGATAGCTATTGGGGAAACTGAGTAGATTTACAAAAGAACCACAAAAAATTTCTTTCAAAATTACATAGCTTAATGGCCTATTATTAACACTGATAATGAATTAACACTAATTGGAGATGAAAACAAATAAATATTTCTCAGTGTTGGTTAGAAAAAAATATCTATCTGTCTGTCTGGCTGTCTAAATATTTTCTGCCTTCTTTCCTTTTCTCAATTGCAAAGCTCAGTAGCTGATCTAACTTAATTCTCAATTTTGCCACTACAGCTCCAACAAATGTACTTCCAACAACTACCACAGCTGCAAAAACTACTTCCTCAGAGAACCCAACCATAACTGCTGCACCAACAACAACCACAGCTGCACCAACAACAACCACAGCTGAACCAACTACTACCACGGCAGTTCCAACAACAACCACATCTTCTCCTAAATCAACCACAGCTGTTCCAACTACAACCTCAAATGCCCCAACAACAACCATGATTTCTCCAACTACAACTACAATTGCTCCACCTACAACCACCGCTGCCTTAACAACAACCACAGCTGTGCCAACAACCACAGCTGCCCCACCAACAACCACAGATCCTTCAACATCAATCACAGCTGTGCCAACAACAACCACAGCTCCTCCAGCTACAACCACAGCAGCCCCCAAAACAACCACAGCTGCCCCAACAACAACAATTGCTAGCACAACAACAACAACCACAGCTGACCAAAAATCTACCACAGATGCTCCAACAACAACCACAGCAGCCCCCAAAACAACCACAGCTCATCCTACTACAACTACAGCTGCACCACCAACAACCAAAGCTGATCCTACTACAACTACAGCTGCCCCAACAACAACCACAGCTGCCCTAACAACAACCACAGCTGCTGCTACTACAACAACAGCTGCCCCAACAACAACCACTGCTAGCACAACAACAACAACCACAGCTGCCCCAGCTACAACCACAGCTGCTCCAACATCAACCACAACTGCACCAGCAACCACAGCTGCTTCAACTACAACCACAGCTGCCCCAGCTACAACCACAGCTGCACAAACAACAACCAAAACTGCACCAACAACAACCACAGCTGCTCAAAAAAACAACACAGCTGCTCCAACAACAACCACAGCTGCTCCAACAACAACAACAGCTGCCCCAGCTACAACCACAGCTGCTCCAACATCAACCACAACTGCACCAACAACCACAGCTGCTTCAACTACAACCACAGCAACACCAACAACAACCACAGCTGCACCAACAACAACCACAGCTGCACCCACAACAACCACAGCTGCTTCAAAAACAACCACAGCTGCACCAACAACAACCACAGCTGCCCCAGCTACAACCACAGCTGCTCCAACATCAACCACAACTGCACCAACAACCACAGCTGCTTCAACTACAACCACAGCTGCCCCAGCTACAACCACAGCTGCACCAACAACAACCACAGCTGCACCAACAACAACCACAGCTGCTCGAACAACAACCACAGCTGCACCAACAACAACCACAGCTGCGCCAACAACAACCACAGCTGTACCAACAACAACAACCATAGCTGCACCACCAACAACCACAGCTGCACCAACATCAACCACAGCTGCACCAACAACAACCACAGCTGCACCAACAACAACCACAGCTGCTCCAACAACAACAACCACAGCTGCACCAACAACCACAGCTGCCCCAACTACAACCACAGCTGCCCCAACATCAACCACAACTGCACCAACAACCACAGCTGCTTCAACTACAACCACAGCTGCCCCAGCTACAACCACAGCTGCACCAACAACAACCACAGCTGCACCAACAACAACCACAGCTGCTCCAACAACAACCACAGCTGCTCCAACAACAACCACAGCTGCACCAACAAAAACCACAGCTGCTTCAACAACAACCACAGCTGCGCCAACAACAACCACAACTGCACCAACAACCACAGCTGCTTCAACTACAACCACAGCTGCCCCAGCTACAACGACAGCTGCACCAACAAAAACCACAGCTGCACCAACCACAACCACAGCTGCACCAACCACAACCACAGCTGCACCAACAACAACCACAGCTGCTCCAAAAACAACCACAGCTGTACCAACAACAACCAAAGCTGCCCCAACAACAACCACAGCTGTGCCAACAACAACCACAGCTGCTCCAACAACAACCACAGCTGCACCAACAACAGCCACAGCTGCCCCAACAACAACCACAGCTGCACCAACAACAACGACAGCTGCACCAACAACAACCACAGCTGCACCAACAACAACCACAGCTGATCCAACAACAACCACAGCTGCGCCAACAACCAGAGCCGCTCCAACATCAACCACAGCTGCTTCAACTACAACCACAGCTGCCCCAGGTACAACCACAGCCGCACCAACAACAACCACAGCTGCCCCAGCTACAACCACAGCTGCTCCAACAACAACCACAGCTGCCCCAGCTACAACCACAGCTGCTTCAACTACAACCACAGCTGCCCCAGCTACAACCACAGCTGCACCAACAACAACCACAGCTGCACCAACAACAACCACAGCTGCTCCAACAACAACCAGAGCTACTCCAACAACAACCACAGCTGCTCCAACAACAACCACAGCTGCTCCAACAACAACCACAGCTGCAGCAACAACAACCACAGCTGCTTCAACAACAACCACAGCTGCACCAACAACAACCACAGCTGCACCAAAAACAACCACAGCTGCACCAACAACAACCACAGCTGCTCCAACAACAACCACAGCTGCTCCAACAACAACCACAGCTGCACCAACAACAACCACAGCTGTACCAACAACAACAACCATAGCTGCACCAACAACAACCACAGCTGCACCAACATCAACCACAGCTGCACAAACAAGAACCACAGCTGCACCAACAACAACCACAGCTGCTCCAACAACAACCCCAGCTGCACCGACAACAACCACAGCTGCACCAACAAAAACCACAGCTGCACCAACTACAACCACAGCTGCACCAAGAACAACCACAGCTGCCAGAACAACAACCACGGCTGCACCAACAACAACAACAGCTGCTCCAACAACAACCACAGCTGCACCAACAACAACCACAGCTGCTTCAACAACAACCACAGCTGCCCCAGCTACAACCACAGCTGCTCCAACATCAACCACAACTCTACCAACAACCACAGCTGCTTCAACTACAACCACAGCTGCCCCAGCTACAACCACAGCTGCACCAACAACAACCACAGCTGCACCAACAACAACCACAGCTGCTCCAACAACAACCACAGCTGCACCAACAAAAACCACAGCTGCACCAACAACCACAGCTGCTTCAACTACAACCACAGCTGCCCCAGCTACAACCACAGCTGCACCAACAACAACCACAGCTGCACCAACAACAACCACAGCTGCTCCAACAACAACCACAGCTGTACCAACAACAACCACAGCTGCACCAACAACAACCACAGCTGTACCAACAACAACAAAGATAGCAGCACCAACAACAACCACAGCTGCACCAACATCAACCACAGCTGCACCAACAACAACCACAGCTGCACCAACAACAACCACAGCTGCTCCAACAACAACCACAGCTGCACCAACAACAACCACAGCTGCCCCAACAACAACCACAGCTGCACCAACAACAACCACAGCTGCACCAACAACAACAACCACAGCTGCCCCAACAACAACCACAGCTGCACCAACAACCACAGCCGCTCCAACATCCACCACAGCTGCTTCAACAACAACCACAGCTGCACCAACAACCACAGCTGCTTCAACTTTAACCAAAGCTGCCCCAGCTACAACCACAGCCGCACCAACAACAAGCACAGCTGCCCCAGCTACAACCACAGCTGCTCCAACATCAACCACAACTGCACCAACAACCACAGCTGCTTCAACTACAACCACAGCTGCACCAACAACAACCACAGCTGCACCAACAACAACCCCAGCTGCACAAACAACAACCACAGCTGCTCCAACAACAACCACAGCTGCTCCAACAACAACCACAGCTGCACCAACAACAACCACAGCTGCACCAACAACAACCACAGCTATACCAACAACAACAACAACCATAGCTGCACCAACAACAACCACAGCTGCACCAACATCAACCACAGCTGCACCAACAACAACCACAGCTGCCCCAACAACAACCACGGCTGCACCAACAACAACCACAGCTGCTCCAACAAAACCCACAGCTGCACCAACAACAACCACAGCTGCCCCAGCTACAACCACAGCTGCTCCAACATCAACCACAACAGCACCAACAACCACAGCTGCTTCAACTACAACCACAGCTGCCCCAGCTACAACCACAGCTGCACCAACAACAAGCACAGCTGCACCAACAACAACCACAGCTGCTCCAACAACAACCACAGGTGCTCCAACAACAACCACAGCTGCACCAACAAAAACCACAGCTGCTTCAACATCAACCACGGCTGCACCAACAACAACCACAGCTGCACCAACAACAACCACAACTGCACCAACAAACACAGCTGCTTCAACTACAACCACAGCTGCCCCAGCTACAACGACAGCTGCACCAACATCAACAACAGCTGCACCAACAACAACCACAGCTGCACCAACAAAAACCACAGCTGCACCAAACACAACCACAGCTGACCCAACAACAACCACAGCTGCGCCAACAACCACAGCCGCTCCAACATCAACCACAGCTGCTTCAACAACAACCACAGCTGCACCAACAACAACCACAGCTGCACCAACAACCACAGCTGCTTCAACTACAACCACAGCTGCCCCAGCTACAACCACAGCCGCACCAACAACAACCACAGCTGCCCCAGCTACAACCACAGCTGCTCCAACATCAACCACAACTGCACCAACAACCACAGCTGCTTCAACTACAACCAAAGCTGCACCAACAACAACCACAGCTGCACCATCAACAACCACAGCTGCACCAACAACAACCACAGCTGCTCCAAAAACAACCACAGCTGCTCCAACAACAACCACAGCTGCACCAACAACAACCACAGCTATACCAACAACAAAAACAACCATAGCTGCACCAACAACAACCACAGCTGCACCAACATCAACCACAGCTGCACCAACAACAACCACAGCTGCCCCAACAACAATCACGGCTGCACCAACAACAACCACAGCTGCTCCAACAACAACCACAGCTGCACCAACAACAACCACAGCTGCCCCAGCTACAACCACAGCTGCTCCAACATCAACCACAACTGCACCAACAACCACAGCTGCTTCAACTACAACCACAGCTGCCCCAGCTACAACCACAGCTGCACCAACAACAACCACAGTTGCACCAACAACAACCACAGCTGCTCCAACAACAACCATAGCTGCTCCAACAACAACCACAGCTGCACCAACAAAAACCACAGCTGCTTCAACAACAAACACAGCTGCACCAACAACAACCACAGCTGCACCAACAACAACCACAACTGCACCAACAAACACAGCTGCTTCAACTACAACCACAGCTGCCCCAGCTACAACCACAGCTGCACCAACATCAACAACAGCTGCACC